ATCCAGTGAGTGTAGGTGGCACCTGTTGATGATCTATGTCTGTAGTTTGTTGGAAATGCTTTTCGTGATGCGCCAAGTCTCTCAACCATCAAATGGAAGCACTGACTTACTTGACTCAATTACTGTTCAAAATCTGGATCTTCTTCACACTTTATGCTCATCTCAGCTGAACTGAGTGCAGTGTGTTGTGGTGAGTGCAGTAGATCTCCACACACACTGATTTCAGATTAATGCAGGAAGGCCTGTCTTGCTGTCTTTCCGATCACGACTGGCTTTCACATCCTCATCTGTGCAGTCACCTGTAGTTGAAACGATGCTGTCTGAGTAGGTGAGTAGGTGGTTACGTGGTTAGGTGAAAGAGATTACTTCCTTTAAGTTTCTCCAGTTCATGGTGATTGGTGCTTGTTGTTGTCGTTGTTGCTATAGTTGTTGTTGTTGTTGATGTTGTTGTTGTAGTAGTTGTCAGTTGGGTATCTTCATCACCTCCGTCTTGTCTACGTTCACTTCAAGTCCCATCTTCCTTCGATGCTGTACCTATTCTCTCAACTTGTTGGTTCTCGCCTGTACATCTTCGAGTCAGTGCGAGTTAGACATCAGGTATAAATCATCATCATCATCGTCCTCGTCGTCGACTTCGTTGGCGGTGGCGGCAGCGGCAGTGGCGAAATCCAAATCTTCTCCACGGGTGTTTTCATCAGTCAGACAGTGTATGCCCACCATCTCATAGCTGCTCACGGTTCCCTGCATGATCCAGTCGAGTGATTCCAGACGACCACAATCAGGAAGATCATCGATGATAGTAGGCGCCAACCCTGTCTTACTCCTTCCTGTCTTCACTTCACTTCACTTCACTTCTTCAAAGGCATCACCCAGCTTCCCACTGTCAATCACTCGGCATGTTTCACCATCCTCATATAGCATATAGCTGTTGAATGAGGTTGATAAATATTTGTGGCACTAAAGCTGTAGTGTTGAAGCAAGCATCTACCTGCCAACTCACTTCTTTCTCAGTCGACGCTGCCGAACGCCCCCTCAAAGTGTATGAAGTTGAGGTGTAGGTAGAGTGGACTGCCATTCTTTGCTCTCTTCTATCATGATGTGTAGAGTAGTGTTGCAATTTGATCTGCACATGACTTGTTCTTCCAGAAGCCCGCTAGCCAATCCAGGTAGTCAGGCAGCCAGCGTGTTGTGGTCGTAGTTTTGAATCCATTGCATCCTTTAATCTCTCCAGGATGATGTGGCTCATTAATTTGCTTGAGGTGGACAGGAGTGGATGATGATTCTGTGCCAGTTCTTGCAAAGACTGAGGTCTCCATTATTTGGAAGTTTGACAAGGTAGCCCTTCTTCCAATCAATCGGCAGGTACCCTCCTTCATTCCACACCTTCTGCAATAGTGGTGTGAGCATGTCCACTGTTGTCTCTGCATGTGTATTCAGTGCGTATGGTGGGATTCCATCTGATCATGCATCCTGCTGCTTTCCTGCATTTCAACAGCTTTATGAAATTCACGACTTCGCCTTTTGTCACAGTACTTCTGTTCACTTGTAGTTGTGTGGCTGGGCTGCTGGTGGTATTTCTCGACGAGTTGTGGGTGATGCGGGTGATCGATTGAACAGCGTTTCGAAGTGTTCAGCCCATCGTTTCCTTTGTTTCTCCGCATTGTCGTAACAAGCTTCCCTTCACTATCTTTCATTGGTTTCATGTGTGCTGATGTTTGTCGGGATAGTAACCTGGTTATTTGATACAATGTAGTCACATCTCTCTCTCTCTTTCGTCTCTCCTACCACCAGCCTGTTCCACTTCACTTGTCAGTGTATCGTGGAAGTGTGTTTTATCTTTGCGCGCACTCTTCTTCACCTCTTTGTCCAATGTGGTGGTTTATATGGTGTGCTCACTTCCTCTTTGCCTTCTTCAACATTGCACTACACCGGTTCATCTTCTGCTTCACCATCACCACCACCCTCATCATCACAATCAGCATCTTCCTCTCCCTGCTCTATCACCTTCCATGTGTCCACCGACATCCATTAATTCACTTATCTTCTTTCTTCTTCCTTCCCAATACAGTTATGCAGGTTTCTTTCCACATCTTTTTCAAAGTGTTCCAGTGTTCTTCCACTCAGATTTCTTCAGGGATGTTGCTCAATGTCTCCCACTTTGTCCTCATGACTCACTGACTGACTGACGTGAAGGTGTCCTCTGTAGTTTCGTCCTTCAGTTCACTTCCTGTTCTAAGTGTTCAACTTCAGCTGTGGCCTCTCACCAACTTCTATGAAGGTTCCTTACACCAGGTAGTGAGTAGTGTGAACGTAAACCTGCTCCCATTCTTGAGATTGAGATGAATTCGATCTGATTTTGTGTGTCATTCTGGTGAAATCGATGTTGCTCGCTTTGTGAATATCCGTGTGCTTGTATACACTGCCTCGCTTCCAATCACCACATCGTTGAATGTGCAGAAGTCTGCAAACAGTTCTACATTCTCATTCCTCATTTCACTGAGTGCTTCTCCACTCATGATCACTTCTCTTCCTGTGTTGTCTGTGTTGTCACCCCACCCATTAGAATTTTGATGTCGCCAAATCAAGTCTTATCTAGTACTGATTGTAGTTGTCTATGGAATTTCTATTCTTCCTCCTCCTCCTCCTCCTCTTCATCTGCATTATTTGTAGGTGTGTAGCGTAGGATTGTGTGATTGTGACTTTCCTTCCTTTTGAGTTGAACAGTGCTGTCATGATTGTGATTGTGCAGGAGGAGATTGGTTCCCACTGAATGAGAGGCTTCGATGTTCTTGAGAGGGGTATATGATGATTGCCACTCGAAAACTCAGTGTGCTCATGGTTGTCGTGTGGGTGAAAATATCCGAGTAGATTATTGACTGTGCAGTTGACATTTAGGAGAGTCCACTTCCATTCCATTCCATTGCATCTACACATTCATCTCAGATTCCTACCCTAACACTTCTATGCTATACCTTCTCATCTCGTTTGCAATCTGTGAAGCCTTGCCAACCAGGTTCAAACATGGTGTGGACATTCCATGTCCCCATATTTACTTTCGGTTTCGTTGGGAGAAGAGAAGACACATCGACGGATTGGCTTCGCGAAGGCTTTCACCAGTTGGTGTCATTTCGCCTCTCCGATTCCAGTGAAGAATGAGTTTGTTTTTATTTTCTATATTTTGTTTGTGCTTTGAGGTTTCTTTAGCGATTGGATCGGTTTCACGGTGTAGGGTTGGTAGCATTATAGCCAACCTTCGCGTTTTATCCGGGTTTAGGATCGGCTAGTAACTAGTTAACTAGTCACCTAGGTGAGGTTGTACTCAACCTTGGGACATACAGATTTATAGTAATATCTCTCTGCTTGTCTGACTTTGCAGTGTTTGGTCTTTTATAGGGAAATCGCTGGTAGGTTTAAGGTACACAGACGACATAGTCCTTTCTGTTGAAGAAACTGAAAATGCGCGGAGTTTTCTAAGGAGTTTAAGTGACAGTTTGAAATTGTTTGTGATAAATTTTATTACCACCCATATGGCAATTGTTGCTGCAGGAATGGCCTGCGTTTGAGTATAGGTAGCAAGGTGGTTGAGTGTGTTGACCCGTCGGCTTAATTTGGCGATCAAGTCAACCCTGAAACAACCGAATCGTTGGACGGACATCAGTTTCCTTGAGATTACTGATAGGCCTTGCGGACGAGTTCCAGCAAGCACGAAACCTAATTTGAGCGCAGTACCCCTGCCGATTGCTTCTAAGTAAATTGCACCAATCAAGTACACCGCGATAATGAATCTTCTAGCTTGGTGACCATATGGCAAAGTGATCGATAGAATTAGGTCAGTACTTGGCGGTAGACAAAATGAAATTGATTGCTCTCCAGCTACCGATCAATGAGGTTACAATTTTACGATTTTGAGGTTGTGTGTGGAGTACTATGCCAGGAAAACAAGTCAGTCAATAAGGTCATTAATCTTCAGTAAGTGAGTTGGCTTGGACATGTATTGCACATACCGAACCACCGCTACCTCGAGGTGTGATATCAACCAAAGTAAGATTGGGTTAGAAGAAGGTTAAGAGAGACTGAAGCAAGACATGGCACCAGGCCAGGCAAACCGTGAAGTTCCTGAGTGTTGGTCTTATCAATCTAGGGTAATGTAGACTTCTGGGTTTGGGTTTTACAATGTAACCGAAATCGGTGGTTATAAACTCTAGGTGATGTGGCCCAAAATCGACCTCGCCGGCGCAGATGTATTCGTGCATTATTTCCATCCATATGTTACATTCTCTTTTGTTATTTCCTTTACCACCTCTTCCTCTGTTATAGCTTTATACAAGATTTTTAACATGTTAGTTAGTTGGAGGCAATCAGTAGGCAGTCCTTGACTTAGTTTTCGGGATTGCTGGTGCCCCTCGGCAAAGCGTATCTACAACCTCGAATGAACTGATGTCCCATGTGAAATTCAAACCTGTGTCACCTGGTGCTGCAGTCAGAAACGTTATCATTGAACTTTTCTGCCCTTAGAGCTGACTGACGTGCAGATATACCTTGCTGACGAGTGGTAACAAGCACAAAACGTAGATGTAGGCCTTCTTGCCGATTGCCTCCAACCAACTAGCATCCATCAAAGTACACCGTGATACTGGCATCCTAGCTCGGTGACCATATTACAGAATGATTGATAGAATTCAGTCAGCTCTCAAAACTGGAAGCATTTATTCCGCTAGGAGATTAAATGTACTTATGTCAAAGCTGCAGTTAGATTAATTACCTCTGAATCAGATTACACCATATAAGGCCGCATTATTTTTAGAAAAGTTTTCTGGAGAGGATTTCTGATGCCTTTTCTGGAATCCAATTTTCATCGGACACCACTCCAGGGCACCTAATTTAGTTTTAAGCAATGAGGCCATCAAAGCATCCCACTTATGCACATATTCTTTTGGTGAAATGAATAATTTTTTGAAATCGTTTAATAAAGTATTGTCTTTTTTATTTTTCAAATGTAGGCTTCTTCGTTACTGACCTACAATTTCGCAGTTACATTGGCGATTAAAAAACAATATCGTTTATCGAAGCAATACTTGGAGATTTCATTACCAGGCTTATTTTTGTCAGCCAGTGAATTAGACGGCAGAAAATGGCATCCAGACCTGTCTGGAGAGCCAACCCTATTAAATGACTGTAAAATACTACCTACAACTGTTCTGCTACTATGCATATACTTAGAAATAGGCTTAGGTCATCGTAAGCAAGCGGCAGAGTTATTACGTGAACATTTTGGTCATCTTACAATGGCTGATCGATTAAATCCATTATTTGCCTATAACGACGAAACTGCTTCTCTTCTTCCAGCTGTACCTCAAGAAATTGATCCTTCATTACTTGCTAAGAACTATCCTTCACTGGTGACTGATTTAAAACAATTGATCAACGTTCAACAACAAAATATTACTGGAAATACAACCATTCCACAGATTCGCCCACCACCATCTGTTCACCTACAACAATCAAGTAATCGTTCAACTAATTTATGGACACCTTGTCAACAATTCAGACAATCTCAAGCTCAACAAAATCAACCAGTTTATTATTCACCTTTATTACAAACACAAATTCCACCACAAACACAACCTACACTTGCTAATTATGAATATGCTAGTCGTTGGGATCAACCAACATCTGCAACTGGTTTAATTACAGCGAATAATGAAAATGATTGGCCTCCTTTAGGATGAATTTAGGGCATATCTTTTGTTGTCTTTCTCTTCTCTGTTACATACAGTCTGTACTTAATTTTAAATAAATGCTAAATTTTCAGAATACGTTTGGACTCATGCTCAAGCAGTTTGGTCTTTTTGCGTAGATAATGTGAAACGGATATATACCATTCATAGTTTCGTGCTGAAATCTAGGGTTGATTATTACTCGGAAGAGCTATGGTGAAAATGTTTGTATTGTTCGCGAGAAAAATCAATTCGAAAACACAACTGTTACTGAGAGATATCCGTTTTGATGCAAGTAACTTTACTACGACCAACACCATAATTCGTTTTTTCCTTGAGTTGTGGTTTAGCACTGGAAATCCAACCGATGGGTCCCGAGTTTGAAACCCGCCTCATCTACCGAGGTTTAGGCAGCCAAATAGTATCATTAGCCTTCAGACAATAGGTATGACTCATTGCTTACTGTACGAATGTCCATTTAGGTTTTCTGATTCGCACCGCAATTATCTAGAAGTTAAATTGCCAGTCCATAGTTTATACCATGTACACGCAGATAGTTGCTTCAAAAAGTTATGCAGATGATACTGGTATTGAGAACTTTATTCATAAAAGTTATCAGATCACTAGAAAATTAACAACTGGAGCTCTAGTCACTTAACATCATACCGGAATATATATGAGTAACCATGTTTTGACCACCTGTTGACTGAAAGCATCGCGGGGAAGTGATTCTCTGAAACCAGAAGTTATAGACAGTTATTGAACCAATAATGTTTAATACGAACACTGCCGTTGAAATGAGATATACTGCTATAATACAAACTATGCGGTTACATTTATTCACTAGTGCTACACAATCTCTTCAGAGTTTTTATATTGGTTAACTAAGATTGATGCCTGAAAATCCTCAGCTTACCATATAATGTCTTTGAGTAAGCATCTCATCCACTTTGAATATTCTCAGGCGTTATACTTCTACAAATTGCAATATTCAATTGATATTAAGATGTCCTGCATAAAACCGCTCAACAAACAAAAACGTCATTAGTAAGTTCATATGATCTATTTTTATCAAGTGGAATTAATAGTAAAATTAAGAAATTTTAAATCTGGTTGATTCATCTTCTCATGGAACGTATCCACTTTAATTTTCTCGGAAGAAAAGAAAAATTTCAGTCAAGATCTATTGAATATATTAAAATCAAACGCGCTATAAGGGATTGTGCATACTTAGTTGTATAATTCTTTAAAGTGCATAAAATTAGAAGAAAATTTCTGTGATATGTATTAGTGACTTATTTTGCAAATCAGTGCTTAGCATATTTAAGGAATCGGCTAAACTGATGAATAAGTATTCAATATAGACATTGATTTCTTTTGTTTTCTGTGTTAGCTTCGTATGATTTCTCCCTCTTTTGTTGTGCATTAGCGTATAATAGCCAACTGCAAGTAGGTATGTGTACTAAGATTTAAAGTACATTAATTACGTTAGGTCTGAAAATAGTACCCACCTGAGCAAACTTTAAAACTGACCTTATATTAGCTTGAATCATAATCACAGCCTAATTCTTCAATTATATCTGTTATCACAGGGTTTCAGGAAGCTAAACAGTTGTTTGATAATGTCATCTACTTATGAACCTTAACTTTGACCTAATAATGCTAACAGAATAATAATCATTCCAGTTGTTGACTTGTAAGGATTGATTTATTTCAAGGGAGTTTTCGCTGAGTACTAATGTCATTTGATGAGTCACTGAAAACCTATGATCACTCATTAGCCATTTCGTCTTATTATCGGACTCCTCAATGGTATGCACCTACAACCGGGTGAGGGATTGTGCCCAGGACTACCATCTCTCATGACGAAAATGTATTGGCCTTCAATGATCCACAATTTCCTACTTCTGTCAACTCTTAATGTAGCGTCACTATCATCCACTTCCATTTATGAGTATTTGTCGTCATAGCCAAATTGGTTGACTCTATACATCACGTTTTTGCAGTTTAACTTCCGGTGCCCCATTTCAGAATAAGTCACTAATGAACACCTAGTTGGTAATGGGAAGTGTGCATTGAAATAATAGTTACATGCAGTCTGGGAGAAAAAAACATGATTATATGAGAGACAACTCAGCTATTTAGATCAGATGAAATATCCATAAAACAAGGACGTAATGATATCATTTTCAAAAGCTGTACATTCTTATATATAGTCACGAATTTTTAAAAGCTGAGTTGTATGGTGGCAATTTATTCTAGAAGACTGTTACACAGTAAAGATTGTTTGAAACGCAAAGAGAGTAGAAGCTGAAGCGAAATTTGAAAACCAGTAAGTTAACATAAAAACAAAGTATAATGAAGAGGTAGGAGGACTTTGTAGAGGAGGGAAATTAAGTTTTCTTGCTTGTAAGTGTATGTTCTGTTTTCAAACGTCTTCAACCTGGTCTGAGGTTATAGGTCGGTAGTTTGGAGTTGTGACTCATTGGTTTAGGGTGTCATGGGTTCGAATACTGCTCTACTTACCGAGGTTTGGGTAACCAGATAGTATCATTAGCTCTCACACAATAGGTGTAACTCAATACGTACTGCTCGAATACCCACAAGGTTACTGAGTGCATTTCAAGTGTAAATTATCCAGGTGAAGTTCTTTAATATTGTGAAAAAACCCTATGAAATCAATCGAATGGACTGTTAGTAGGAGTCAGATTTATCAAGATAACTTCTTTATTTTCTCCTGGCTAACCAAGGTAGACAGTATATAAATACCTACCCTAAACTCATTGATAGACTACCTGTCTGCTAAGGAATGTGATTTTCAGTTAGATTACATAGAATATCTTCCTCGTAGATTCTTGGAGGTGATTTATACGGATTTCAGCTGCGATATTACTCTTGAATCCCGGCCTTATGTTGATTATATCCTTGAAGGTTCATGACAGCTGTTGTGTTTGTGATTCTTCTTATTTGAAGGAAGAATAAGTATTTCAGCGATTTCATTTTCAAAGCTATACAATCACGAATTGATACATTTTTCTAGTGTAAGGATTTGACAGTTAAAAACGGCTTGCCAGGCACAGCAACACAAATAGTGTCAATGGATGAGTTGTCATTAAAATCAAAAAGGCAGCCAAAAGCTGATGAGTAGTGAATACCAATCGAGACAAGTTTGAACAAGAAGTTTCGTAACAAGATGTAATTGGAAATTGAATTGTGATCAGGTGGAACATAACAACAAGAATGTGTGGCAAATTACTTCAGAAGTGATTAGTGTCAAAACAAAAAGATGAAAAGGAAAAAGGGGGCAGTAGAGGAGACTGAAAACTAAGACCATGAAGGGAGAAGAGGTTGAACAATCTTCTGTGTACACAGTTCAGGCTTCTCCATTTGGATAGCAAGAGCTTCGGCGATGCAGAAAATACAAAGACATACAGCCTTTGGAAGGTTTCTTTTCACTTTATAGATTACTTTAAACAAGGAGGTTTTTGAGGTAGGGTAATTTGTGTTCAATTATAGCACTTCATATCGCTCCATTGTTACCTCTTCGTAACCACGCGGGATAGTGTTCTTGAACCCATTGGATAACAGTAGCATCGAACGACCTAAATACCTGGCTCTACAAGAGCAGGTGAACTGATAGATGCATACAGAAGTGGTCAGATATGAAAGTTTCTCCTTCGAATTGTTAGAAATCGTTGGGCGACGCAAAACTAAGCAATATGAACATATAACTGTAGAACATGAGGGCAAAGCTACTGGACAGAATATTTTTTCTTCATTCAGATGGTTCTTATATTATAATGAGAGTTTTTAAGAAGGTGAGGATTGTTTGTAGATGTGAAGTAAAGTAGTTAATTGTCCATTTGGCTGATGAAAAGCAGTTCGAAGGATTTGGAAAAGATTTATATTGATGTAAATGATAATAATGAGATCATAAAAGTAGAATAGGTGAATTCAGATTACAACAGATTAAAAGATTAGGCATTCTTTTTTTACGCAAATAGTTAGGGCTTGAATTGGTGGCTTGCTTTTACAGTGCGCAGTTTATCAAACTATAGTGCCTTGGTAAGAAAGGATTATTAAGGGGATAATTAAAGTATTAATGTAGGCATGTTTCTCATGGCTCTCTCATGCTCAGAAATTTCCATTGCTACCAGTGATTTCTTCTACTAATGTTCTATTTAGATGAACGATAGACTATACTACTGTTCATGTGTTCGAATTTAAAGGAGCCTGGTTAACTGAAGTTTGATTGTGTGTATAAGGAAATGTAATAACCTGTTTAGATTTTGTTAGTTCCTGGTTCCTTTTTAACTTATAAGACTGGCTTTTAAAGGTATATATATATTTGTGTTGTTTCCTCAATATTGACATTATTTTCATTTCGAATCTATCTAGTGATGACCAGCAAAGGATGAGTTCAAAAGGTACATTCCTTTCAAGTGAAGGTCCACCAGTTGGATACACCTGTATTTCTGTCATTAATTTTGTTCCCAGTCAAACTCGAACCCAATAGTTAGAACACCATCACTCAACCGGATCCATACAAACTTAGCTGATGAGTCTCAAATAGGACAAAAAACAGAACGGAAAATCAAAATATTACATTCTTTCATCCAACCTCGCCTAGGTGACTAGTTAACTAGTTACTAGCCGATCCTAAACCCGGATAAAACGCGAAGGTTGGCTATAATGCTACCAACCCTACACCGTGAAACCGATCCAATCGCTAAAGAAACCTCAAAGCACAAACAAAATATAGAAAATAAAAACAAACTCATTCTTCACTGGAATCGGAGAGGCGAAATGACGCCAACTGGTGAAAGCCTTCACGAAACCAATCCGTCGGTGTGTCCTCTCTTCTCTCGATGAAACCGAAAGTAAACATGGGGACATGGAATGTCCACACCATGTTTGAACCTGGTTGGCAAGACTCCTCAGATTGCAAACGAGATGAGAAGGCATAGCATAGAAGTGTTAGGCTAGGAATCTGAGATGAATGTGTGGATGCAATGGAATGGAATGGAAGTGGACTCTCCTAAATGTCTCCTAAATGTCAACTGCACAGTCAATAATCTACTCAGATATTGTCACCCACA